TCTGCACAGGTCTGGAGGTCAGGGGTTTCAGTAGATGGATGCTGAGCTTGGTCAGAGTCCTCCAATGCTTTAGTGCAGAGCCTGACTCTGATATTTAAATCTCCGGGCTGAGGGGCTGTTTGGTTGGTGTCTCTTGGCAGGTGAATCTGGCAGTCAGGCTCTTCTGTTTGATGCTTACTTGGAGGCTGATGTTGGAGAAGGCAGAATGATTCTCTCTCTCATCCAGGAAGCTGATGTTTGCATAATCCCTTTCACTTTTTATCCCTGACCCCAGAAATGAGGCGCCGTCTCCAGGCCCTTCCTCCAGAGAGAACCTTGAGTCCCTTGTGGCTCGACTGGAGAAGACAGTTGCTTCCTTACGGAAACAGGTAAAACTTTGTGCCCCAGTGTTTGCTTTCCATGGAGTCACCCCAGGAGCAGGATTTAGCTATTTCCTACAGGCAGCCTCCTCAACTTCTGTGTCCTCCAGAGCCAAGAGCAACCATCCGATCAGAGGGAACTAGTGGTGGGTACAGAAGAGGTAGAGTAGGGAGAGAAGAGATGAAGCTGAGCTCTGTGAGTTCAGACCTCTACAACTGTAGGGTAAAATACAAGTTTGAGCCTGAGTGAAGGTAGCTTGAGTCAGCACTTTCTTCTTGTATTTGGGACAGGTTAAAGATTATCTGTGCGATGGTGCAGACTCCTCTCAAAGCTGCTATTTTCTTGTCCCCACCAGGTGAATGCACTAGAGAGCCAGCTGAGATGGCAGCACAGGAACACCAGCACTCATGGACGGGGGAGGAAGACTGGAGACAAATGGAGAAGAAGATGACCATGTTGCCTGTTTGTATAAGGTCGGTGTGTTTGTTTTGGGCTGGGGCCTAAAAGGTGGCTCAATATGGTGTTGCTGAGCGTGTGGTGGGACATCTCAGTAGTCTTCACATACAGAAGAGACTGTTGCAGAAAGGAATGGAGCAATCTGGTGATGAATGGGACAAGAGGTAATAGGCTTAAATGCAGCAGGTTAGGCTCTCATTTCTACCAGTAATGATTAGTGACTCACTGGAATGGGTTGTCTGGGGACGTTGTGGCATATCCATTCCTGGAGGTCTTTGAAGAACTGGTTTGGCAAATGTGGGGAAAGACATAAGTATAGGATGGACTAGGGAGATGGACTGGGTGAGGTCTCTCAGGCCTATTCTTCTAGGACTCTGGGTAGGTTTCTTCTGACAACATTTAATATCATAACCCCAAATCCAACAGCCTCCAAAGGACCTTTGTGGAAAGAGATATCACAAAGCTCGGTGATGGAGTAGATGAACTGGTTCCTCCTCGGGGTAACAAGGACATCTGGGTAGATGGAGCAATCCATCATTTGCTTACATATTGGCAGAGATTTCCCCCTCAACATCTGACTCATTGTGCACCTCTCTTCTGAAGGCACCGGTCCTGTGTTTGCTCAGCTCGAGCCAAGGGAGCCAGGCTGGCAAGTGCGTGGTTAAAGTCACCGTCACATCTTCCAGCCTGGGGACTCCTGCTGCTGCCCAGCAGTGGCAGGGTGCTGGCAGAAAGCTGCCAGACCTCTGGTCCCTGGTGTTCAGGGGCACGGAGAGCCCAGACTGAGCTCCCTTAGAGTGCTTTCCACGGAGATCCACACAGCCTCGGAAGAGAGGATGAAAAACTCGCCGGCACCTGCCAGTCTGGAGGAGGTGTTTAATGTTTTTTATGTGTTGCAGATGATTACTCCAGGGACAGGAGCAGAGGAGTTATGCAGAAGTGTTGTTTTGCCAGGCAGTCTGTACTAGAAGGATAATCCTCTGGAAGTTAGATTACAGGACAGGGCAAGCAAAGGCTGTTCTATGCTGATAATCTCAGCAGAAAGCAGAAGGGGAAGGCTGTGGGCTGGCCACGCTGTTTTCCAGTCTGATTTGGTGTGTTGGTCCTTATAGATTTTCCAGTTGAACAGCGATTCGCCTTTAAAAATTTGACATAAACTGCAGCGTGACACAATTTGTCTTTTCCTTGCCATCATTTTAGATCCTTTAAGAGCACTCTAGGGTTTACAAGGTCCCTGAAAAGTATTTCTGTGGGTTTAAAGAGCTGTTGTTGTTTTCATGCTGCAGCCATGCACGCCCCGGACCTGCCAGGCACTGGACAAAACAGCTCGCTCTGCCTCCAGCTGCCTCCCACGGAGTTTTTTCTGTTTTGGTTTTTTTTTTTTTTTTTTTGTGCCATTTCAGGTGCCCTGTGACCTGCACTCCTGCTCTCCGCCAGCCAGTCCAGCTCACTCCTACAGGGCTGAGAAACAGCAGCCCCGAGACCCCACGATGCTCTGCCTCCTCTCACGCCTCCTGTGCCGCTCCCTGTCCCAGGGCGACTGTACTTCTGCCTGTATTGAACCCTCTGCACTGACTGTCTACACGTCCCCCAGCCCCTGGACCATTCCTGCCCTTGTCAGCCTCCTGGGGATGGGCTCTGCCTTCTTTGATGGTGACAGACCAGCACCCTGCTGTGATGACACTTTATTCCGCAGTACCCAGGAGATGGAGAATGACTGAAGCTGCTTTAGTGCCACTGTCCTGCTCTTCTGCTCTTCCCATGCAACGCTGTCATCATCCTCCACCCCTTGTCTTGAAATGACCCGTGGGCACCCGACCAAAACAATTCATCGAGAGGCAAAACCTTTCTCAAATGCTCTGCGGTGCCAGGGAGCATCTGGAGAAATTGAAAAAAAAAAAAAAAAAAAAAAACAAACCAACCAAACCAAAACAACCCAATAAAGTAAAATATCCCAACAAAGTAAAATTAAATAAACATGAAACCCCAAACCAAATCCCCCAGCTGTCTTCTCACGCCAACAGAAGGAGCAAGAGGAACCTTCGGGCCCTGGTAGGCACCGTTTGGGCTGGGTGTGCAGTTCCTGCCGGCAGCCCAGGGGTGAACCCGAGGTCTGGGGAAATCTCCCGGTTCTTTGGGTGCTTCAGGACGGGACGGAGCCGGCGGCCGCCCGCGGTGCCACCACCAGCTGCTGTGCTGGGCCAGTCGACGGGTCACGAGCGGCACATCCCCGGTTACCCTGCAATGACCTGCTGTTACGTGCCCAGCGCTCAAAACCATTTTCCCCAGCATGACCCGCATTCTCCAACCTTCTGCCCTTTTGGGGCTTTAATTGGATTTGTGTTTCTCCTCCTGTTTTGTTGTTTGGTGGGGTTTTGTTGGTTTTTTGTTTTTTTTTGTTTGTTTGTTTGGTTGGTTTGGGTTTTTTTTTGTTTTTTTTTTTTTTTTGTTGTTGTTTTGGTTTTTTTTTTGTTGTTGTTTTGGTTTTTTTTTTGTTTTGTTTTGGGTTTTTTTGCTTTGTTTTGTTTTTTTCCTCAAAAGGCTTTTTGCTGGAACATGTATTTCAAGTGTAAACGTAACAGGACCTGGAACAGAACCTCAGATAATGAGATGTAATGGGTGCTCTCGTTAGTGGAAGGGAGCTGCTGGTTTCTGTCAATTAGTACGGGAGAACACGATGTGCGGTGTTTGACACACGGATGAATGCAAAGTGCTGTTTGTGTTTATTGTTCCCAGGTGCTCTGCAACCGAACCAGGACTGTGTCACCAGCTCTACTGAACCAGTCTTCTGCTGGTTTTGTTGCTCTTTGGAGGTGCTTTTTAGTGGTGCTAGAACTACAGTCCCTGAGTATCCACCATAGCCCCGAATCTGTGGACAGATTAGTTTTTAATACATCCTTGTAAGCTGGTCACAGGGACTAACGAGAAAATACTTGATCCATCAGATATCTGTGCCTTCCTTATCTTTCTCACTTTCCCTGCACCCTCCCACCTTCCTTCCCACAGTGCAAGGACCAGAAACTGTTATCAACATGCTTTTTCTTTCCTTCTTTTTTATTTTTAGGTGGTTTATAGTACCAAAAAGGGATTCAAAGCAGCAGGGATGCTCCTGGAACTTAATAGGAAAATAAAAAAAGATACCAGAAAAAGGTTGTGATTTATCAGCTATTTCCTGGTGTGGGACTCTGAGCTGTGCGTGTGTGTCCTGTGCAGACACAGGTTTGCAGTGATGAGTGTGTGTTATGCATGTCTGGTGAGTTCAGCTCAGAGGCAGTATTTAGTCCTCAGGGATGTTTGTCATTTTGAAGTACCCTTTCATTTAGGTGCAAATCAAGATCCAAAGCCTTGCATGTTATAAATCAGCTGCACTTGCCTATCGCTTGTACCACTAGAGAATCTAATCTGGCAAAGGTCAATAAAGGTAAATCAGTCTCCAGTCTCCTTCTGCAAACCACAAGTTTACCAAGTCCACATTCAAAACAGTAAGACATAAGCGTTCGGCGCTTGATCTAATCAGATAATCTCTAAATGCATAATCAAGCAGCTCATTTTCCTCCCGATGGAGCTTGATGTGAGGAGCAGACATGTCAGAAGCATTGCAGAAAAACAGCAGAGGGGGTGTCCCTTCCTCACGTGCTGCAAATCCTTCTTCATCCTCTGTTCCTCTCCCCATGCTGAATTGGAAAAAATACACAGAGAAATTACACATCCCTGTGTGCAACTGAGGGTGAGGCCATGTGCGGGGCAGGTGGGGGAAGATCTTGGGGGTATTACCCAGGTATTCAGGTGCTGCTTTGATAAGTACAGAGCAGAATATTTTATTAAAGATTTTTCCTCTTTTCCTAGTTCCCATCTGTGCAGCAACGTGTGCAGGGCATGCTCACCGAGTGCTGTGTCCTCCTTCTCTCTGCCCTGGGCTTCTCTGCTTGGGAGAGGGCGAGAAAAGAGCTGACCCTCAAACCCAGATGTTGAAATCCGGACTTTGCAGGTTGTTTGGGCATCATGGGACACCCAAGGTACAGGAAACAGTAGACCAAGAGCTGTTGACCCAGGGATGGGTCCAGTTTGCTCTTCCTACACCATACAGCTGCAGTCTACAGCTTAGACCCCTACAATTAATTTTCCCTTTTTTTTTTTTTTTTTTTTTTTAAGCAGCCTCTTTCAAAACCCAACTGCACACCCCAAATAAGCTACCCAGACCAATTACAAGCAGAGGAGGATCGAAATAATGGGCTCAAGGCCAGAAGCAGAGTTGCCAGGCACAAAACTCCCACTAATTAGATGGAACAGTTAAATGACAAAACCCAGGCAGGGGCCGGGGTGGCCTGGAGTTGGGATTTCTCACCAGAGCAGCAATCTTCAGGTGACTTAAAGTGCAATTGCAGGATGCGAGGTGGGAATCTCCATCCTTTGGCTGATGCCTGTGGCTGCTGGGCTGTGGCAGGGGGGTTGTAGGGTGTGAGTGGCTGTGCTGATGGCAGCAGGAGCCGGGGGTCGTGAGCCAGGGCTCGGTTCTGGGTGCCACATAGGTGCGTGGGGCTGATCCAGACCCCGCAGCAGCCAAGGACCTCCTGATGCTGAGGGGGGGACCCATCTCTGCTGCAGGCTGAGCAAGCACCACATCCTGGTGGATCTGGGAAGTGGCTTCCCTAGAGATCCTCTGCAACGGGGGATTAGTGGGAGGAAGCAAGCGTTTTAGCGGGGTAACCCCGGGAGGTCACTGCAGACCAAAAGGAAAAAGGATCTTTTGTTATAAGCCCCACAATAGCCACCCAGCAAATATCCAAACCATTCAGATCTCTTCAAAAGTTATTTATTTCATTCTGTTTTAACTCTTGTACAGTTGTAGATGTAATTATTTTCCTACAGAAAAAAAAATACCCTCCCACACAAGTGAGATCAAGGCTATTAACTGGAGTCAGCCACTTGTCACAAGAGCTGCTTGAAGAGGAGAGCGCTGTGTTTACTGGTGCTCTGGTGACAAGCAGGAGAGCACGCTTTAAAATAATTTAAAAAAAAAAGCCGTTCTCCTTCGAGAGTGGCGAGCCGGGCTCCAGCTGTGCCCGGCTCCCAGATGTGCCGTGGGACCGCCGCCTGCAGACTCATCCCACCTGCAGACCGGTCCCACCAGATCGACCAGTTTCACTTTCAAGAAATAGGAAGTTGGCCGGGAAGGGCTGGCGAGCGCCCAGACGCGCGCGAGGGACGCGGGACGGCAGCATGAGCCTCCCGGCCGGCGGCAGGAACCCGGGATCGCCCCTTCCTCCGGCCTCGAGAAACGCGGTGGCGTAGACCACCGCACCCGCCGGCGATGGAGCAGTTTGTCCGGAAACGTTTGACTTTCCTGACGTCCTTCTGGAACAAGCTCCGTCCTCGCTCCGTGCCGGAGAGCTGCTCGCTGGGGTATCTTGGTTCCGATTCCGTTTCGCTGCACTCGGAGCCGAACTCCATTTCCTTCATCCCCAAGTCCTCTCTTTTTATCGCTTTATACGCTTTCACAGCCCGGAGCGCGGAGGAACTGAGCGTAAGCGCAGGGGACAAACTGCGCGTCCTCAGAGAAGAAGGAGAGTATGTCTTAGCCCGGCGGCTGCTGGGGGAGCCGGCCGTGGGCTACGTTCCTGCTGCTTACGTGGCCAACCTCAGCCAGGGCACCTCAACTCACCGGCCGTAAGTATCCCATGCTCTGGATCCGTGGGGGGATGGAGGCTGGCCCAGGGTAGCCCGTCCCTGCCCAAGGAAAAGCAACACTCACCCTCCACGATGGCAGGGAGCACGAGCTCCGCGTCCCCTGCTTTTGCCACCAGACGTGGTGGGACTGAGTGGGGGTCTGCCCTCCCCGGGGGGCATCCCCGCCACGAAGCTCCTGCAGCTCCCAGCAGTGGGGTGGAGGTATTCAGCACAGCGAGGAAGGGTTGGGGGGGACGCAGCGAGGGGCAGGGGTGCTGGTCCCCCTTCCCGGGCGCATCACCCTCGCACAGGATGGGGCGGCTCGGGGCTGGGACGTGGTGCGATGGTGTGCACGGGTGCAGCTATGGTGCTGAATAAACGGGCTCCTGCTTGCTCTGGCTCCTCTCCCTCTTGCCATGCGTTAAAGGGGAGGGAGCTGGGGAAGCTGGTGCCTGAGCCCTGCCAGCTCCAAAGAGCCTGGGAGCTTGAGAAGGAACAGTTTGGGTTGGGACTTGCTGGGAAACCCAGAGCTCTGTAGGGCCAAGGTGAGGTGGTGCTGCTGCCATCCGGCTCCTGCTCATCCGGGGCCAGGGGCTCCCTCCCCGCCGGTGCCTCTCCCACCTGACGTGGAGCTTGGGTTGATGTCTCAGCCCTCTCTCAGCTGGGGGAAAGCCCAGGCTCATCGTTGCATAAGGCAGCCTGGTCCTGACACGCCGGGCGAAGAGCCCCGAGACATTGCTGCTCCCTCTGCATCAGGCCCTGAGTCACGCCGGGTGACGGGGAGCGCACGGCCGGGGCGGGTGTAATCGCTCTGCGGATTCCCCCGGTGCTCACCCTGCACTGCCCAGGAGCAGGGACAGAGGAAAGGAGCAGGGAGGGGGAGGGCTGGGAAAGGGTCCTGATGTGCAGGGACAGTGTTTGCAGCTGTAGGGACGGGAGAAGACCCTCCCTCGCTCCCCTCCCTGCGTGCGCTTGGAGAAAGGCAAATCCAGTCTGGTTTGGACCCTGCTGGGACCGCACCGGTGAGGACCGCGGGGTCGGCTCGCTGCTTTAGTCCCATTGCAGGGGACAGCTGGGCAGGGGGACAGCCGGGTGTGTGTGCACAACCCGCGGGCAGCTGGTGCCCAGCCCCATCCCGAGGACGGGGGCGAGGGGGGATGCCGCGGCGTGGGAGGGCGGTTGGCAGCAAACGTGCGCGGCGGAGCGAGCCTTGAGCACGCAGACTCTGCGGAGCCGCAGGTCGGAGCTGGGTGGTAATTTGCTCAGCTGCTGTAACCCCATCACGTATAATTTTCCTGCACGGCTTCTCAGACGCTGGTGATCCCAGCTGATGACGAACCTTCGGCTCCTCACCTCCTGGCTGTCTTAGGTTGGATGGGGTAGCCTCTTACCCACGCTCCCGTCTATCCCGCGGAGTCGGGACGCAGCCAGCAAACCTGCCTTTTCTTGCTGGAGATTTGGTGATGAATCACGGCGCTGATCGGGCACAGAAGAGGGGTTTGCCTGGGTCCTCCCTCCTGGCTTGGTGCTGCTGAGGTCCCCAGCCAGGACTGCTATGCCTGGAGCAGCAAAGGGCAATTCCCAGAGATGTTTTCGTTGCTGAGATTTGCTCACGGGCTCTGCAAGCTGGTTGTGTCCATGAGCTGCAGGTCAAGAAATGCAAAGCGATGCTGTGCCCTGTAGTTGTTGCTCCTGGGGCAGGACACAAGGGTGCAACCCCACCAGAGCATCTTCCACGCAGCACCGGGTGGTTGGTGCTTGATTTACCGCAGGCTATCAGCCCGGGTGCTGCACTGAGCCACGGGTGGAAACCTCCTGATTTTGGGATGGAGCTGAGAGCTGGCCAGCTTAAGACAGCAGTGACCAGACACTGCTGGAGGAAATGCTTTGCAGTCAACAAGCTGAGATAAAACGCAACAAGCGCCTGCAAAAGCAAGCCAGGGAAGCAGCCCCAACACAGGCAGACGCATTTATAGTGCTCTGAGCCGCCGTGCTGCTCGCTGTTGGGGATGAGCAAATGGTGGGAGGGAGCTGCTCCCCCTCCCTGGCTCAGAAGGTGCAGGAGCCCCTGGGGTGGATGGTGCCCCATCTCCCTGCACCACGCTAACCCCCCTGCTCTGCCCGGCAGCTGGTACTTCAGCAAGATCAGCCGAAATGAAGCTGAGCAGCTCCTCCTCTCGCCTCCCAACCAGCACGGCTCCTTCCTTGTCCGGGACAGCGAGAGCAGCAAGGGCGAATACTCTCTCTCAGGTAATTTTGTGCCAATCATCCAGAGAAAATTAGCCCAGGGAAAGGAATGAGGCTGTTCCTTAAAGCAGCTTCTGGCCTGGTCAGCACAGTGTAAAAAACATGGAAACATGTTTAAAGCGCTATACAGCATCTTGTTAAAGTGAGTTGAGTGTTTTCTAAAAGTACAGGGAAAGGTAATAGACGCAGGTATGGATTGCCGAGTTACTGTGGCAAAAGAAAGTACATTGTTCCCATCCGGGGTATGAAAGCCATAAACAATTCACAGCAGCTTAATGATGGTTCTGTGGCACTAACTCCCAGGTTTTCATTCCAGCAGCTTTTGTCATCTGAGGGTTGTCTAAAAATATGCTGCTACTCCAGATTACCAGGGCCTGGGCTGCTCCCACATACAGAAATCTGAATTCAGGGGGGTTCGGGCCAGGCAGCGCTGTTACGATCTGGTCTGAGCCACATAAAAACCCCAAGAAATTCACGGTGAGCCCCGCATCCTGCCCACCGCTCCCCTGGGCCACGGTGTGAGAGCAGCAACAAGCTCTGCTGCTCTCCGAGCAGTTCGTTTGTGTGGGGAATTATCCTTGCTAATAAAGCCTCACCTCCCCGGTCCAAATGAGCCTCACTAGCCCGTGGTCAGGAGTCTTCTGAGCCAGGAGGTGGGAGCAAAGAGTGATGGGGGGGGGGGGGGATCTAACACCCCAGGGGCGAGTTGGGCTGCTTTAGGGTGAATTCATGAACTGGGTGCCTGGAAAGGAGAGAGGGTGCAAGTCAGCAGGGAGGTGGGAAGGAGGGGGTGATTGCACGAGCTGAGTTTTCCCCCATTTCGGGCTTCCCCCGCAGTGCGCAACCACGTGAAGGTCAGCCACTTCCGAATCTGCAAGAGCCCCGGGGGCAGCCTCTACATACAGAAGGGGCATCTCTTCCCCGACATGGAGGAGCTCCTCGCCTTCTACACCGAGCACTGGAAGGTCATCCAGAGCCCCTTGCTGCAGCCCTGCAGCCCCGCGGTGCGTATGCCGACGGCGTGGCCAAAGCCCCAGAGGTGGCCAGGATGGAAAAAAAGGAAACAGGCATTAGGGAAAAACAGAAGTAATTCGTCTATCCATTCGGGGTTTGAGCTTTATGAAACTAAATTTTAAATCCACCATTAGTATAGCTGCCAGCAGCACCTTTTATCAGCCATGTTAAGACCGTTAATATGTATTTTTGATTGGCCAAAATGCACAGGCTTTTCTGAAATGTCTTCTCTACGTCAAAGACCAGAAACCACATTGTTACAAATCCCTTTGATACTGAATCTGGAAATACCTGCACTTCCAATTTTTTTTCCTAGAGTATAATAAGACCACATCACTTTTATATAGATTCCATGACTATTAGTGTGGCATTCATATAGGCAATTAGAGTATTAATCCCAAATTGCCAACTCATTTCCTGATTAGAATTCCATCCACTGATTATGACTTAGAAATAACAATTAAACATGTGAATAATCCAAGAATGAAATGGAAAGGCGAAAGATAAAATAAATGCTTAATGAGTTAAAGTCTAAATCAGCCATAATGTGCAACAATATTCATTTACTCATTTTTATTTATTGGTGGAAATGGAGAAAAGCCACCTTTGAGGTCTGATGAGGAGTGAATTACGACTTGAATTCCTGATCTTTTATGTCGCCTCCAAAAATCTCCCCCCCTTGCATACGTTAGCTCCCAGCAGAAGTAATTCAGAGGAGGCCCCACGTGCTTCGTGCCCCCGATGAACATTTAACAGAGGGAAAAGCAACGTGCAGGCTGCAGCCCCAGCGCGATGCAGGTGGTGGAGCACCGTGTCCTGCTCACTCCTCCACGGTCACCAGGCCTTGGTGGACACCAGGAGCTGGTCCAAGCTGCAGTGTCCATTTTGCAGACCCCCCCCGAGAGGGACAGCTGGGAGCGCCCACGCTGGGAGTTCACCCTGCGGAGGAAGCTGGGCGAGGGCTACTTCGGAGAGGTGTGGGAAGGACTGTGGAGGAACACGGTGCCGGTGGCCATCAAGATCATAAAAGGTAGGTGGAGGAGCAGATGTTAACAGAGGCCAACCAGGTCTCTCATTCATCACCACATCGCTCACACCCCTTCTTGTTTCCTAGTCCTCGTGACCGCTGTGTCTGTCTTGTTAAGAAAACCGTGGTAGGATCTGGCAAGTAGCCACTGGACTATTTCTGCAGCTTGGGCTTCGCCTTTATAAAATGGCTCCGTCCAGTGGGTTTGTGATAAGTCACATCAAGCCAAATCAACTGGGTTTGTGATAAGTCAAGGCAAGTCAAGCCCAATGGGTTTGTGATAAATGAAGTCTTGACGGGACTGCGATCCTGAAAATGGGATCCAAAGCCCTGTGGAAAACATCCTTTGGGTGTTTGGATCCGAGACACAGTGGGCAGCCATGAACTCTGAGAGCAGGGGTGGGCTGTGAGGAGGAAGGAGGTCCTCATCTCAGTTGGAGGTGCTGAGCTCCCAACGTCCACACGAGAAAGGAGCTCACAATGGCCGTGCTGGCTTTCTCCCCCAGCTGACATGAAGGCAGAAGACTTCACCAAGGAGATTCAGAACCTGAAGCGCCTGAGACATGAGAAGCTGATCCAGCTGCACGCCGTCTGCTCGCTGGATGAGCCCGTATACATCATCACCGAGCTCATGCGGAAAGGCAACCTCCACAGCTACCTCAACAGTGAGTATCCATGCTGGCACCACGAGGAATGGGCTCCTGGGGCAGTGCTGCTCTGTGGATGCTTTCTGTGCCCCAGAATGGCCCTACAAACCCGAGTGGGGGACCCTAAGAGAGCACAAGCCTAGTTTTGGTCCTCTTTAGATCAGTGATAATGCAGAGCACTCCATGGGCGCTCGGTGGAGATGGTCTGGGGTGACTCCAAGACCTGAAGACGCGGTCTGGCATGATCCTTTTGGTGTCTGTGTGGGCTGGATCCCTATCAGTCCCTGGGAGCCCAAGCCCAAGTCCCGGTCCAAGTGTTGGTATGGAATCTTCATCCCTCCCTTTTCACCCAAGCGTGGTCCACCAGCTCCCACCAGAAACCCCACAGCCGTGTTTGGGCAACTCTGTCTTTGTTAGGAATGAAATGGCCAAACCTCCCCCTGGGCCAGCAGCATCGTTTTGTTCATGGGCAGTGCTAGCAACAGGCCACGGCACACTCATCACCCAGCCATCAGTTTATTTTTCTTGGCCTTTCTTTCCCTGATCCAGTAATCAGTCTTGAAGGGAAACAAGACAAACCACTCCCACCAAGACCTGTTTTTCAACTGGGTACACCCCCCCTTCTCTCCCGCACTGACCTGATTTTTGGTTGGGCCTCCAGGGACATTTGGTGCTGGAGGAGCTGGAGCTCCCAGGTGGGGCAGGTTGAAGGGCCTGGCTGGAGATCTGCATGGCAGAAGGTCACCTTTAGCTTTGAACGAGCCGTGGATGTCTGCGTCCTCGTTGCAGCACAGGGCAGTCTTCAGAGCTCACCCCAGTCCCATTCCTGAGGAACACATGGCTGTGCTGAACTTCCCACGCAGTACAACCTGTTCAAGGTTTAGCACCTTCCACTGGTTCCCCATTGCCAGCACAGGGTCTCCTTCCAAACCAGAACACCCCAACATTCAAACTAGATTGCCCCCAACACCTGGATCATTTGGGTTAACAGGTCCTGAAGGGAAGTCCCTGGGCACCTCCCACCTGCTCAACATCGCCTGCCAAGTGGCAGATGGGATGAGGTACCTGGAGGAGAAGCATATTGTCCACAGGGATCTGGCAGCCAGAAACATCCTGGTGGGAGAGGAACTCACCTGCAAAATCGCCGACTTTGGACTTGCTCGACTCCTCAAGGTCAGTCAGCGGGATGCTGTGGTCCCTCCCATCACCCCAGGTCACCAAGCTGCCCCGTGCTGCAGCCTTTTCCCCGCCGTCCCCTTTCCCAGCCCTCAGCCCCAGTGAAGTCCCAAAAGCAGCGGCTCTGCTCATCATATCATCCCTCATGACCCATCACCCATTGTTTTTCAGGATGACATTTATTCCACCAGCAGCAGCACTAAAATCCCAGTGAAGTGGACAGCCCCGGAGGCAGCCAACTACCGCACCTACTCCCTCAAGTCTGATGTCTGGTCCTATGGGATTCTACTCTACGAAGTCTTCACGTATGGACAGATCCCGTATGAAGGTAGGGCTGCCAGCCCGCCCCAGTGCCGCTCCATCCACGTGCTGGGCAGCTTGCCCATGGTCCTCAAAAGCCAACGTGTCATGAATTGCTATGTCACCCCTTCCACAAGGGGCGTGGAAGCAGCTTTTAGAGCATGAGCGAGTCATTGTCCATTTTGGGGATTGCTTAGAGGAATTTTCAGTGTTTGCAGAGTGGGTGCGGGAGCTGGGGGCAGGAAGGTGGTACGGGCTGGGTGATCTCCCACAGCCTCGTGGCAGAGACACCATTTTACAGCGGCGCCAGTTGACATCTTGGCCCGCTGCAGGGGTACCTTCAGGGCATCCTTTGGGGAACATTAGATTCAGGGGCATCTTCTCTTTCCTGGCAGGAATGACAAACCAAGAAACCGTACGGCAGATTACCAGGGGCTACCGCCTTCCCCGGCCCAACTCCTGCCCTCCTGAGATCTACAGCATCATGCTGGAGTGCTGGAGCGGCAACACAGAGGAGCGTCCTACCTTCCTGGCCCTGCGGGAGAAGCTGGGCTTCATCTACAGGAGGCTGCTCAGCTCCCTCTCCTGAGGGACCCCTTCCCACCATCCTTCCTGCACAAGCCCCTCCAAGGCCAGCTCTTGCCAAGAAGCTCCTTCCTTTTGGTTTGCCCTCTGACAGGGCTCCAAGGAAAGCACATCACCCCCCAAAAGCAGCCCATGGTCTTTCTCGGTCGGGATGCAGGGAGGTGGCCAAGGGAAAAGGCAACGAGTTGTGGAGAACTCATTGCCGGTGCTCGGCTGTGTAGCAGTCTGGCAAAGCCCCACGGCAGTGAAGGCATCACCCAGAGTTTACACCGTCATTCAGCCAGTAAGGCAGGAGGTCCCTGCCGCTCCCCACGCCGACGTGAAGGTTTTGCAGTTTGTGTTCAGTTGTGGCTCCGCTTGGTTTTTCTTGTAGTGTGTGTCCAGTGTATTTATCAATAAACACGCGTGCATCCATCCACGTGAGTCCTTGCAGGGCTTCGCGGGATGCTCAGCCCTCGCCACGCTGCTCCCCTCCCTCCCTGGGAAGCAACAGTTTGCAACCAGTCCCGCTCTTGCAACCACAGATGGAACCATTTTTGTGTCTCTTTGGTCTCTGCTCATCCACATGTGCATGAAACCCGTGTGCTTCTGCCACCCTTTTCCCAGGCAGCAGCCCCGCTTGCCCCGAGGACCCTGTCCAGGCTGCTCCGCTCCAGCTCCTTGTCTTGCTCACCGTTGTGCGGTTATTAAGAAAAAAATGTATGTCTGGGTTCAAATATTTAACACCTGCTTAGCCCAGGTGCAGGCAGCACTCGGTAAAACACTGCTTCACCCTCTTTTGCTCTTCATCACACCCACGGCGCAAAGCCCAGAGATGCTCCCACCAGTTCCCCCCCGGTCCCAGGATACGGCATTACAGAAGGTCCTTGAGCCTCTTGTCGTCCCCTGCCCGAGCCGGGGGGAAGCATTTGCTCCAGCCAAGTACCTCACTGAAAAGCAGCCCCAGGAGCAGTGTCAAGGTGCTGGTGCAAGGAGCAACCCCCCCCCCCGCCCCAGCGCCGGCTTGAGCGGGGCTGCTTGAGCACTGACACACTCGGGGCACTGGTGGCAGGGAGCATGAAGTGCCGTGGGTGAAAGCCAGGGCGGCCTGGGTTTAGCTTTCCTCCCGACGAGCCCATTTTGCCTGTTTGCGGAAGAGAGGGTGACCTGTAAGACTGAAACAACAGTAGGGCTGGAATATATAAACTTAATAAAGTTTATGCAATACTCTGCATGCCTGAGCGGCATCCGTGCTGTGCAAAATAGCAAAAACAAGTCTGGCTGTTAATCGAGTGACACTCGGCGCACGAGGGGCCTGGAAAGGGGAAGTGGGAATGTGGTTTAGGGGGGGTGATAAATGCTGACGCGGCTGTGGAAGCCCGAGCCAGGGCGGCAGCTCTGGGTGAGAGCGTTCGCTGCTGGAAAAAGCAACAGGTTGGGTTCTTCGCCGTGTTTGGACACGGTTGCAAGAGGAAACCCTCATCTTGCAAAAGCGGTTCACAGCCTGATCAAACACCCGAGCAGCGAGCACGTGTACGCAGAGCCCAGGCCCCCTCCTACGAGACACTAAAGCCCGAGGCTGTGTCCGGCAGGTTAAGGGATTTATTGCACGCCAAGAAAGGGCAGGGACACGCGTGGCTGCAAAGACGGCGGGGCTGCTGCTGCAATAAAAATATAAAATTTGTAGGTCTGGCTGCCACCAGATGGTGCTAAAAATTAAGCAGGAGCAGAAGGGTGTGCGTGGGGTGATGGGGCTGGCGTGGGGAGCAGCGGTGCATAGCCGGGGTCCCTGGAGAAGCCAGTGGGGCTGGCAGGGCTGCAAGCATCCCTCCTGTCTGCACCAGCCCCGTCAGCCCCACACCAGCTCTGTTTGCTGTAGCAATGCCCTGATGGCTGACGTGGAGGTGGGGGGACATGAGGACACGGTGCTGTCCACAGCAGCTTTTCCTTCCTCCTCCACAGCTGCATTAAGAAAGCCCATCCGCTGCTTGGGTTTGCCCTTCAGCATGGGTTTTTGCATTTCTCTGAGTCATCGCTTGCTTTCTAAAAGCAGACAGAGTTGGTGAAGGGGGAATGCCGGATTTTCTCATCTCGCCCAGGATCAGAGCCTGGGCAGAACACTGCAGCTCCCCTCCCCAAAAAATCAAGGCCACTACAGGGACCAGGCAAGTCCCAAAATCCATCTTGCAAAGGCAAAGCTTCTGGGGGCCCCGGTCCTTTCCAAATCCCTCCGGCACGGGCACTGCAAACCCTGTCGTTCAAGGCATTTGCCTGCTCTGGTTGCAGCCTGGCACGTGCCCTGTTTGCGGGTTCAACTCGACAGAGTGGCATTTGAAAACAGCGTCAGGCTATTGAGATGTATTTGAGCGGCACAGTTTGTTTCTATTTTTAAGGCCTGGCATTGGGCTCCGAAAGGTGAGGGGGAAGCAAATCTGCGGGAACAGGAGAAAAAAAAAAAAAAAAAAAAAAAAAAATATTTCTCCAAGCAGCAAGAGGAAAGCAATGAAAGGAAATATTTCTCACGCTGGGGCTGCTGCGAGAGCTCCTCGGAGGCGGCGGGGTGGCACGAGGGCTGCTGCAAGGGCCGAGAGCGAGCAGGAAGCACCGGATGGTTTTTGCCTAAATATGTGAGTTAATCAAGAGACAAAACACGGCGACTCGTCAAGCGGCACAGGGGAGCGGAGGGAGGTGGGTGCTTGTCCCTCTGATAGGAAGCCCAAGGGAAAGGGGGGGATGCTTGGGGAGGGGTATGGTACATAAAGAGCCCCTTTGTCTCGCTCCTGTTGCCTAATAAATCCCTTGATATCCCACCACAGCAGGCAGCACGATGACCCAGGACACAGGAAATCAGCTGGAATCGTGAAATCATTCAGGTTGGAAAAGACCTTTAAGGTCATCACGCCCAACCGTAAACATAACACTGCCGAGTCCTTAACACTAAACCATGTCCTTAAGTGCCACATCTACACAGCTTTAAATAACTCCAGGGGTGGTGACTTAATCACTTCCCTGGGCAGCCTGTTCCAATGCTTGACAATGCTTTTGGTGAAGAAATTTTTTCCTGATGCCCAATCTAAACATCTCCTGGAGCAACTTGAGGCTGTTTCCTCTCATCCTATCCCTTGTTACTTGGGAAAAGAGACTGACACCCACAACAGTGGGAATGGAAACAGCATAAAAATAAACGTGGTCGGCTGTCAGATGCTTTTCCTAAACATGTTTGACTGCTGCAAAGGGGCAAGAAAAGCCCCAAAAGCACCAGGCACCCCAAGCAACCAAAGGAATACTGGTTTTGCTCTCAGCAATGCCATGAAGCTGCCCGGGAGGTAGAGGGGCAGATTTCCCTGTTTTTTTCACCTCCAGCAGAGCAGGAGCCCCAGTCTGTGAGACTTTACAGACATTCAGAAAAAAAAAAAAAAAAAAAACAAAAACAAAACCTTTAATTCAGCAGGGCTTTTTCAGACAGTTTTGCTCTGCCGGACAGGGAGCCGCTGGCAGCAGGACAGCCACTCACCGATGCTGCAGTCAGGGCTGTTAAACCCAACCTGCCTGCCAGCGATGTGGAAACGAGCTTAACCTTCACGCAGCGTCCAGAAAGGAGATGGAGGAGCATCAACGTGCTGGTGGCATCGCAGGAAGCGGCCAGAACAGCTCGCTCAGACCTGGGTCAGGTCAGAGAAAGTGCCCAGCCGAAAACCAGGGACACAAGCTGGCTGGTGCCTTCGCTCAGCCACAGCCTCCCCGGGGTGTCTGAGGACAGTTGTTGGGTTTGACGCTCTGCCATCACAAGACCAACAAGCAAATACAGCAATATTGACTTTACCTTTGTGTGTCCACAGTTTAATCTGCAGCTCCGGAGGCTGCAGGCTTAGATATAATATTTGTCTCTCTAAAACCTGGGGCTTCTGCTGGGAACCAGCAGCAGAGGAGACCCTGCTGCTCCCCCAAAACATCCTGGGGGCCATAAGCAGCCGAAGGTGTTCACCAGGGCATGGGAAGACCCCAGAGCAGTGCTTGCTGCTATGAACCAGTGCCATAGCCACCCCTCTCAGCTCACCAGCCAGAGAGCACGCCTCATCTTGTCTTACTCAGAATTTTTTTTTTTTTCCCTTGATTTTCCTGTGGTTTGTTACATTTGAGGGCTGACCACGTGCCTCCTGCCATACACAGCCACATGCATATAGGTGCAGCGCCCCCCCCAACCAGCAGCACTCAGCACCAGCAGTTTGCTGCCTGGCTGGAAGTCACGTTGGATCGGTCGTGGGGTGACGATGTGCTGCCGTGGATGTGGAGGTCACCCCCAGAGTGCTGGCAGCCTCAGGGGGCCCAAACCCTGCGCCCAAGGCTGCTGGCCCTGGGGAACCCCCACCCCCAGTCATGCCCTTTGGATGCACACACACACACGGGGCCGGGGGGAGTGGAGGTCCCAGTGCTGCCCCAGCTCATCCTAGGGATGGGGGGGACACAGACCCCCTGCCCTGAGGACAAGGACCACTGCCTGGAGACGCAGAGCTCAGACTAAAGGTCACCCAACACTTTTCTCTACCAGAAAACAAGGAGTGAGGTTGGAATTGACCCTGGATGCCTCTGCAGCATGGACAGCCAGCCCAGCAGCCACCTCCCCCCTCCCCGGTTGCCCCCTGGGCCAGGCAGTGGGGAGCTGCCTGCACCCAGCTTTGCCCTTCGCCCCTCCCCGCTTGGGATGCCAGAGGTACAAAGTCAAAGCTGAGGGGTCCCCCAGCCCCCGGGGGGCTGCAGCACTGGTGCACGAAGGGACAAGCCCCGTATCTCACCCTGGGGCTGACAACAGACCAGAGCAGGAAGATTTGACACCTTTAAATCAACCCCTGCCAGGGTTTTGTTTGCCTCCAGCAGGAACCTTGCCCCCTTTTGCATGCCGGAACCCGCAAGCTCTTTGTTTCTCAGTGTTTTAGCAAGCGGCCCTCCCCAGCTCTCAGGCTGATGGCAGAAGGGCCAAACAGCCAAGATGACTAATTCAAGGCGAAAGTCAGGCAAAACACCACACAGGGCAGTGCAGCTCACGGGCCAGCTGGGCTCCAGGCCTGTGCACCGCCCCTGAGCTGCCACCCACACCACAAGCTCCAGCCTAACATCAGACCCACAAAATGCAAGCCCTGAGCCAGTCTTCTCTCCCCCTTCCTTATGGAGGGCTCACTCTGCACCCAAATTCTTCCCCCCCAGCCCTGACCAGACCCAGCTCACTGGAGCAGGGCAGGGCAGCAATGTGCTTGGGGAGCAAAAACAAGTTCAGTGCCAGCAGGGACAGGCTGTGCAGCCAAGGAAAGAAGAAAGGGTGGGGGAGGCATTTGCAGCCTCACCGCAGCCTAGCCAGATCTTGCTCACAGGCAAAACACACGCACCAGTGCCTCAGACTGGTACGGCCATGCCGGCCGGCACGACCAGACCCTACTGCTGCGGTCAGAGGCTGCATCAAACCCACCCCCCCACCATCAGCAGCACCGCTCCGCCTTCCCACCCCGGATGAAGAACAACCCCCAGCATTTTAAAAGGCTGCTCAAGTTTATTAGTTGCCGTTGTACGAGTACAAGGTAAATAAAAAGTGTTACCGAGTCCGCGGGGAAAGGGCGTACTTACGTTGAGAAAGAGTAAAAAGGCCGGTGTGGGAATGGTTGGGGTTTTGTTCCACTTTTTTATTACGGAGCAGCACCTTTGCCTCGGAGCATCTTGCCTACTCTACGGGGGGGGGGGGGGGTGGGGAGGGAAGGGGTTGTGCCCGCCGGCGTGGGGAGCAGTCGCCGACCCGCTCATGCCGAGGGCCCGATGCTGGGCTCGCTGGCGTGACGCCTCCGTCCCGCTCCCGGGACCAGGCCACATGCCATCGGTCCTGTCGTCACCCGCAGCGCTCCCAAGCTGCAAGACAGAGCAGAGAGGGTCAAGCCAACGCGGAGGCAACTGCGCTGTCGCTCTGCGTTTATTTTTGCAGCAATGGAGTCGGTGCCCTGGGCATGAAGACGTCACCCATTGGGTCAGGATGAACCTTGGAGGCGGGGGGGGGGGGGGGTTTGTCCCCAACTGCCCTGGGTGCTGCACTGGCACTTCCCTGTGTCATCTCACCCGAGGAAAGCACTCACCTCTCCGGGGACTCCGACACGGTCGTCATGGCCGGGTGAGCTGTCTTCCCAAAGAAGAAGCTGGCCCACCAGTGGCCAGGGTCGGATTTGGGCAGACCTGGGGGGACAGAGTGTGCGAGGGAAGGTCCACGTCAGTGCAACCCGGGCAGCCCCGCTACCACCCCAGGCTCATCCCACAGCCGAGGCGGCGCGACCTCCAGTCGGATTTGCAGTGGAGGGACTGGGAGCAGAGTCGTCCCCCGCCCCCCCATCCCCGAGCCAGGCAGCACTTACCTGGGGGGTGGGGGATGACCTCCCCGGAGTACTCGGAGCTGCCGCAGGAGCTGTTGCTGGATGTGGAGTTCAGGCGCCCTGCGGAGATATCACGGTCATCAGAGCCACCACTGACCCTCGGTCACGCCGTGGGAAGCAAAGCACGGCCTTGGTGCGGCCACCCCTGCGGTAACACGGCTCAGTCTCACCACTATCGTGTGGCAGTATTGGCCCAGTTTTAGTTCCAGCTCAATAAAAACCACTAGGAAGGAAGAACTGGCGAGATTACAAACTGACCAGGAGCAGGTAGCAAAAAAGCACCTGAACACCTCCGTAGGAAAACACTTGCAACCCCAAGGACATTATTTAACAGCTTTGCATCTGTATGCAACGCTTGGGAGGCCTTTGCAGATGACTTGAAGCCAAAAGAATGCAGATTCCTAAATATAATCCACGCAGTTTTAGTCCAACTGCTACGAGCCTGTTACTAGTTTAAGCTCAAGGGGGAATACTTTAATTCCCTCTGATTTAGACAATCCATTAAACCAAAAAGTCTCCCCGCTGGAGAGGTACCATTAGCTACCATTGCCCAGACTGGTTTTGCTTCCCATTTCCACAGCAAGAAACGCACTTGAAGCCGTCGCCTCCCCTCACCTACAACCTTAATAACAAGAGAAGGAGTTTGCAAGACCCATCTCCAGCCAGTACGACTGGGCGGGGGCTGTGGTGGCCCAGAGGAGGGTCCGAGCAGCGGGAGGGACGGCTTCAAGTCCTTCCCAGTTCACCTCAGCCCCGAGCACCCTTACTTCGGTAGTAGTTGTGCGTCGCCATGAGCGAGCCGCTCGATGGGATGGATGCCATGGTTCTTGATCTTGGTTCTTGTGCAGATCTAAAACCTGCGGGAAGAGGGGCAGCCGTCATTGCAGAGGGGCCCAACCCGTGCCCAAAAAGCCTCAAGGGTTTAAATGGCACCAGTGTGATTTCTCAAAGAGATTGGGCATGCACACCCTCACGCTCGTGGTGCTACACATCGTTTAAATCCGCAGGCGAAGAGCTCTGGTGAAAAACTATGTGCAAAGACAAAATAATTCCCTGGAAAACAACCGCTCGCCCAGAGCCCAGGTCTGGCAAGTCTGCACAGCTCCTTCCCCGAGCCCCACACCGCGGGGTTTTGCTTCCTCGCAGAAATCCAGTTCCCCTCCTCGTATCAACAGTTGGGAGTTACGAAATCTCAGGCAGAGATTGCGCAAGTAGCAAAGGAATGTTTAGCTCAGGGCACATACCAAGGGGTTCCAGCCCCTGCCTGTCCCCCCCCCCCCCTCCCCAGCAGCCACCCCCGAGCTGGGGGGGCCCAACCCTGCCAGCTCTGCACTGCCGTGCACAGCACCTCCCTCCTCCTGCAACGTCTGCTTCCAGCACGGGCAAGAAAATTGCTTCCCCCTCGTCCCCAGTTCTGAGCTGGGGAAATATTTTTCTTCTGGTAGAACGCACCCCCCAGCTCAGACACTGACTCTCTCCCACCTGCCCCACAGTCAGATCCCTTCTTGTTCAAGCAAACTCCAGAAAAGCTCAGTCTAAGGTGCCACTTGCCAGCGGACACCGAGCCCCACCGCCGTCCGGAGGAACAGCAAAAGCAGAGACGTGGGCTGTGAACCTCGGCCGTGGGGGGCACACAGCGCCTCGGCACCCTCGCTACCCCCCCAGGGCGTCCAGCTCCTCCCCAGGGCTTCCCTGGTTTAACGATGCACCCACTTGTTGACTGTGGAAGTTCCTCCACGCCCCCGTTAACACAGTAATCCTTAGTGGGGAAACTGAGACACGGAACCATCTCCCGGAAATTTCACCCCAAAGGGACTCGGTGTAGCTTTGCAGTTGACCCCCTCCCCAAAGTAAACCCCTAAAATTGCCCCGTTTCTCCCCCACAACTCCTCCCCCGGGGGTTGCACCCGCCGGTCGCAGCGCACCTGGGCTGGGCGGCAGCAGGGTCCGGCGGGCGGGCGGGCACTAGGGCCGCGCGGCGGCGGCGGCGCGGCCCGGGGAACGCAGCTTCCGCTCTCGCTCCGCACCGCACGGCCTGAGCCGCGGCGCTGCCGGCCCCGCCCCCGGTCCCGCCCTTATATCCCCTCTGGACACGCCCCCGAAGCGAGCACGGCCAATCGGGGTGGGGGGGAGCGGAAGGCCACGCCCCTTCCCCGGGAGGGGCGTGGTCTGCGCTGGCAGCGGTGGCGCGGGGAGGGGGGGGGCGGTTTATCTCCGGGGTTCAGCGTTACCGGGGGGGGGGGGGGGAGGGCGGGGATTGAGGGGGGTGAGGGGACCCTTTTGTCATCGCTTGCCCTGCCACACAAACCCGCCGCGTCATATTCGAATAATACCTGAAATTTCGAGCGAGGCGATTTGAGGAAAAAAAAAAAAAAAATTCAAGTGGTACAACCCGGTGGCACCTTTAAAGCGGGTGTGGGAATGAATAAAGGAATAATTACGGATTTGAACTGAGCTGGCTGGGCTGTGTCAGTTTTGGGGAGACAAATGTTTTATTTTGGAGGGAAAAGCCTGCAGCAAGGCCCAAGTACAACCCACACTGCAATACAACTCCTCTGGATTCGGGTACCAGTATAGCATGACGTATAGATGCTGTTCTATAAACCACTGGCATTGCTGGGGACGGGTCCTGGAGAGCCAAAGCAATGCCATACCTGTGCACGGGGAAAACAGAAACTTTACACCAAATGCCTTTTCTCCGTGGCATGGAAATGCAATTCAGAGCACAAAGTGAATCCACTTTTAAGAGTCAAAACAGCGCTGGGGAGAGCCGCAAGAGCCTCGCGGTATCCCCACCAAGGCACTCTGATATTTGCTGTAGCTAAAGTGTTATTCATTTAGAGCGCTGCGGCCCGGCACGCTGAGGGTTTGCACTAAAATCTTGCAATTTGGGTGCAGCTCTGAGAAAGAGTATTTTTGGGGGGGTGGTGCTTTCACCATTTTTGGGTTTGGAGGCAGGAGGGAGCCCAACTCCCAGCCTGGGGTGGTTCTGGCCCAAACTCTCCGTGCAGTGAGGTTCATTCCTCCCCCAGTCTGTGATTTTTCTTATTAAGCCGGATTTATTTGTTGATCCCCTGGGGGGGAGGCGGGGAGCGAGGGGAGGCAGCTCCAGGGGAAGCAGTGCTGAATTGCTCCGGGAAGGCATCGATCTCCCTGGGCAGCTCATGGAGCTGCAAAAGGGTTGCCCTCCCTTTTGGGGACACTCGGGTGACCCATGTCCCCAGGTCCCCCTGCCTGGCCCACAGGACAAGGCAGCAATCCTGCCATCGCCGCTGGGACAGGCGCCTTCCCCCCCTGCACAGCCCATCTGCCTGCTCCCAGGAAACCAGCCCGGACAGCTTCAGGGAAAGCCTTGGCACTACAAGGCTGTAAATAAATTGTTTATTTTCAAAGTCTGCCCCTCAGGTCTAAGGACCAACACAAAATCACATGTGATCCAGCTCGGGACCAAGTTCATCCAGCTCTGCCTCAGTTTCCCCATTCATAATACTGACTCAGCGCTTTCCAGGAAAGGAGTTGGCTAAAAGTTGTGATGGACTTTGAATATACAAACACCAATCAGCCGTTTAATCAGCCACGTGGTTGTTTTCCTGCCCAGCATTAAGCTTCGCTTTTGTGCCTCCTCATCAGGTCTGATTTCGGGGTCCCTGGGACCCCCAGGCCAGCCCTGCTGGGAGCGTTCACTCCCAGCCCAACCAGTTGCAAAGCACAGAGAGCCCCAGGGCATGAGCTGGGGAGATTTTTCTGGCCCAGAGGGCTAGGAAGGCTAAAAATTGTGTGCTTCAGACCTGAAAAGTCACTTTTATTTTAGTGAAGCTGTGTCATTCTTCAGGTTCCGCCTCAAATCCTTCCTGAGAGATGTATCCCTGTATCTTATGTCCCTCTAATAATCTACAGAGCAATAAGAGTATATTGATATAGAGATTATATTTTATAATGGAGTATATTTTCTTCCCAGCTGGTACAGGATGGCTTTGCACCTCACCCAGCCTGAGCGGGCTAATTGCTTTAATTAATGACAGAGCAGAGATGAACAAACACTGCCTAGTCCCTTTGTGCAACGACACCACTTACACACACATTCGGGGCTGCTTTTTAAAAGCTCAGCTCATTAAGCAGATAACACCGAGGGCGATGCTGCACCCATAGCGATGGGGGATGAATTGAGGCTTCGCTGGTTTGGGGGAGATCAGTCTCCCTGCGTGGATGAATTACAGTCTCCAGCAAAACATGTGTTTCTCTGCTCTTCATCCCAAAGCCAAATCCACTTCGCCTTAACGGTGCAGCGGGAGCAGTGCTGGTGGGACAGGGCAGCCAGGGGGGATTGCTGGAGCATCCAGTCTGTTTTCCAGGAAGAACCCCATTCTGGGTGCGTTGAGGAGAGGAAGATACATTTCATTTGTATTGATCAAGAATCAGTAGTTTTAAAAGCAAGCAGATGACAAAATTTGGATAGATTTTCTCTTCGATTTTCTGCTAATTAGAGCCTCTGAGTTGACTGCAACTCTCCTTACAGTTTGTATTTGAGGAAGGTTTCTGTGTTTTCCTTTTTTTTTTTTTTTTTTTTTTTTTTTCATTCTGGCTCTCTGGGCTCCACGTTACAGCTGGCAACTGGCTTTTGTTATCTGCGGGTTATGTGTGCCATTGGGAAATAGCCTTTCATGTCACAGTTTGTACTTGGCAGAAACATCTGGAAGGCAGCAGAGGCTGCAGAGCTGAAGGACCTGGTGCCTCCGGGTTCCACCGGCGCTCAGGGGACATCGCAGCTGGGTGTTTGCTAATTCCTGGAGCACCCCATTGCCCAGCCAGTGAGGTTTAATGCTGCTGCCAGATTCTCTCTGGGGATGTGACATCCCCGTGGCTTCAGGAATTTGGCCAGTGGTGGGAAAGTTGCCCAGCAGCCCCTTCCCCACCACCCTGCACCGGAGCACGCAGCAATTTTTCTCCCACGAAAGGCAGCAGCTCTCACCCCCGACACAGCAGCAATGCAGACTTCAGCTCCCTATAGTGCTACCGAGCCTGATCCTGCACCACTGAGGATTTTGCTTAATTCTCCCTCTGTTGAAGACCTCTCGCTGCAGAGGAGGGAGCGGGCACAACCTGTGCTCAGGCTCTGCTCTCCTACTCCTCCTGCGCTGCTGCGTTTTCCCAGCCGTGTTGCTTGGTGCCAGGTTTGGGATTTGGGCAGCATCTGTCCTGCACAGGCAGCTGCTGCCACCTATGGATAAAAAATAGCCAAAATGTTCACCCCAGATACTCCATTAGGGTCATCCCCTCCTCTGCCCAGAGCCTTCGCAGCATTGCTAAGGTCAGAGGAAGAGTGGCTGCAAAACCAAACCCATGGTCGTGTCGTGGCCTGGGCATCTTCCCCTGTCTGCACATGTTTAAATCAGAAAAGGGGATGTCCTGGAAATGCAAGGGGTGTCTTTCCTTAAGCACAACATGAGCAGGGTGTTTTAGCTGTCGGCTGGAAGCCGTGCTCTGCCTTTTTGGGATATATGCAGCAAAGTGACCCACGTGCCACCGTGGCAGGAGAATAAAGTCAGACGAGGGCGTGCACCACTGTCCCCGTGGTGATGAGAGCAGCTCTGCTGTCTTCACCTGCAGTTTGTGCCAAGGGTTGCGGGCAGCTTGGGCTGATTTCCCCAAAGGCTGGGGGAATTGGCATCAAGGCCCCCCAGAACTCTGAGTCTGATCTGAAAATAGGCCCATTGTGGAGAGGATTAGGTAGAAAGTCACAAACTGCCTGATTTGCCTATGCAAAAGAGAAGTCTCCAATTTGGAAAAAGCAGTGAAGAAAGGTGACCACTTCTTGTTGTAATCCAGAGGCTCTAGGTGAACTTGGTCCCACGAGTTCCTGATTTCTGGCCTGTCGGTTCCTCTGGGAAAACTGGAAAATGATCTTGCAGAAAACAGCAGTGGTGCTGAGCAGGATCCATCTCTCTACAGAAAACTCTTAGACCAGCATCTTTTCTGTGGGACTGGGGCAGATTTCACTACCGTTCACTAGCACCACAAGCAAACAAATTCCTCACTGATATAAATCCTTGGGCTTTGATGGGGGGCTGGGTCAACAGCACATTTTCTCATTAAGTTCCCTGATCTTTATTTCTCCCTCTGGATGCATCCAAAGCTCATGCTGTTAGCCAGGTATCTCCACTGACAGCCCTTCAACTAAAGCGATCAAAGATATGGGCAGCCAGGGCTCTTTTTGCTCAGTGGCCATGGCTTAATAAGAAAAGCTGTCCCCAGGATTAATGCAGGCTTTTCCTAACTTGGAGATGTGCGCGACTGCCAAAACAAACACATCAATCTGTTGTAGCTTGATATGGCACCAGACGCCCTTGCTGTAAAACCAGTGTGGTCCAGGAGCAACCCAGAATCCTGCAAGCATCCTTAAACCACAGGGCAGAGATGTCTTATCTCACTTGGGCTTGACCTAGATCAGGATCTGTCCCTTCTTTGGCACATGGGAAGATTTACAGGATCAGCTTCTCGCAGCCCCCACAGATGCTACATCCAGGCATCAGAAATGTCAGGGTGTCCCTAAAGAGATGCATTTGAAGTGGTGTTTTTCCCCTCCCCTGGTGTTAAAAAAGATTTCAGAGGGTGGAAATGTTCATCCGATCTGCTTCCCGGACAGGCAGTGGCTCAGATTGAGCAGTTTTATCCTCTAAAGCCTCTTCTCTGTCAGTGACATCTTGGAGAGCTGGAAGAAATAGAGTAGCAATATTAAGATGGAAGTGGGGAAGGTGAAGAGCAGTGCAGGAGTTAAAATCTGCAGAGGAAATCCGAGTTTAGGTGAGGAGCTGCTGCGTTGGACCTGGGGGTGTGTGCCCAAGGGTGTTTTATATCCCCTGGGGTGCTGCTGAGCTCGGAGAGGTGGCAGCCCTGGGGTGGAGGGATTTCCCAGTCCTGACCCTGTAACTCAGCCCGTTCGATGGAAAAGGGATTTCTGGAGGAGCATCCCCATGGCACACCCGGAGCCACGTGCTACCACCCAGACCCAGGATGGATGGGGACAGTTTTAAAGGCCTTTGAACACTGTCCCTTCAGCATTGCTAC